CGACCCTCCCCCCTCCGACACGCACTTGAAATTAATATCATTGGGCCACCAGGTGGACCTCAGAAGGCGGCGGAGGGGGGGGTATACGGCCAGCAGGTTGAGGCGGAAACGGTCCTTGGCCTGGGGGTGGGGGGGGGAAAGACGAACCACACACGATTGAAGCTGCTGCTGGGGTGGTGGGGGGGTGGAGGGTGGGTGACGGAACCGTTGCAGAAGGCGGTTCAGATGGCGGCGAAGGGAGAATTAAAGAGGGGATAAAGGGAGAGGAGCAAGACCCGAGGCAGTGCTCAGACCGGGCTTATGACGCGCAGCCGGCTAAACACTCCCCTTCCCCCGCCCACCCCTCTGGTGGCCCCTCCACCCTCCACCCTCCACCCGCCACGGCACGGAACCTGCCTAACCAGTCGCATCCGCCCGCCCTCGGCAACTCACCGTCCTCCGAGGTCCTCAACACCTGGTCGGAATCCAACATCCATAAGCCCTAAGTACCCAGGAAACCACACACCTCTCAACCCACGCAAACTCCCGACACCATTCCCCGGGCCCGCCGTCCCCCCAATACACCAGACACATACATACATACATACATACATACATACATACATACATACATACATACATACATACACACCCGACCTGCTTCGCGAACCAGAACACCTCCTCATTGAGTCTGCCCCCCGGCGGGACACCCCCATCCAGGCCCTGAAGCACCGCCCGCTCCACAACCGTCTGAAGCTCCTGGGGGGGTGTTGACGGGGTAGGAAGGGGTAGGGAAGGGTATACACGACGCGTGCTGACGACAGCCGTGCTCATCCCTTCCAAATTCACGCATATAACGGCCCCTTACGCCGGGGGTGGGCAAACCGTCAAAGGGCGCTAATGCGCGGGTCAAGGCGGGGACCCAAACCCCCTCGACACGTGGTTGCGGGGGGAAGGGTGCGGAGCGAGCTCAATGGCCCCAAATCGCCGGCAACACACACTGGTGAAACACGCATGCGTAACCCCCGTGTGTGACACGGTGGTACGGCGCCACCGCCGCCGCCATTACTGCCGTACCGTTATGTTTCCGGGCCAGCCGTAGCTCTCCAGCTGCCGCACGGCAGCGGGCGTCACCGTCAGACGTGGCGACGAGGTGGCCGAGGCGCCCTCCCTGGTCCTCATGGTTTGTGTCAGGTAGAAGCGCTGCAGGTCCTTGACATCCCGGGGCCGCAGTCGCAGCGGCGGTACTTTGATGACGGTCGCCACCTTGTCATCGACCTGGGGTAGCTGCGGTTGGCGGTTGGCGTAAACCCGGGGAGACAGCTTAGACCAATGCGACGGGGGCCTTGCGGTGGGGTCGCCGTGGGCGAGGAAGGTCTGACTAGGGGACCCAGGATTGGGTGGGGGTATCGCGTGATCACTCCAACTCGCCGGAACTGGAAGTGCGTTTCGCTGAGAGGGCTGACGGCGAACTGGTCGCGGCACAACACCGGAGGTGGGGCTGCGAGGCCCCCATGGCTCGCGACCATGGCCCCAACCACCTGCCAACCAGGACCCAGGACGGTTGACACACAACCGACAACCAACAAATCCTAAAGAGTACGAAAAAAACTGAAGAGCTATAACAATCCGCTCTGCTGATGCAACGCCAAAATCCAACCGCCAGCACCTTCCAACCAAACCAACTTCCGCCCAACTAACCTGACGGTTGGACGTCATGATGATCCGGCAGTTGGCTCGTCGCAGCGGCGGCAGGTTGTCCCTCGGGGGGTCCATACTGGACGCGGCGGGGTTGGCGGCCTCTCCAGGGGGGCCCATCAGTGAGGCTCGGCGGTAGATCCGCTCCCCACACAGCCGAACCAGCTTGGGAACCAGGGCGGGAGGCATCTGGGGAAGGGAAAGGGAATGGGGAGGGGAACTGAGAGGGGGGAGTGGGGGAAAAAGGGGGAGGACATTAGGTTATCTAAAAAACAAGGGTGCCCCCAGCTGCGATGATGGTGATTATTAACTGTGGAAGGAGAGGAGCTGGGGAAGGGCGTCTGGGCCTCCATTTGGATGGAAAGGGAGGTGGAGGAGGAGGAGAAGGAGGAGAAGAGGCACGAGCGCATGTCCAACAGTCCGTAGCGCGGGCAGCTGCAGGTGTGAGCCCGGGAGGCGCACAGGCACTGTGAGCGGCGCACACCGGGACGCACACCTTGTGTACGTTCTTCAGCAGCAGTGTTCCCTCCTCCACCAGCTCCACCAACCCCGCTTTCTCCCCCCGCCCGAACAGCTCCGCCCCCAAGGCGTCCAGCCGGGCACAGTCCAGGTAGGCCATGGGGGTGGTGCGGCTGGGCCCCCCGAAGTGAATCAGAGTCGCCAAATTGGATTTTTGTAGCCCCGGCTCGCCGAAGATGAGCACAGCCTTTCTGAGGTTGGGAGTGGACGGGGGATGGGGAGGGAGGGATGGGAGGAGGGGAGGAGAGGTATGTGCGAGGAATGGCAAATACGTGTATGAGGAAGCAGTATGCAGCACAGGAGCTGAGAGCGGCGGTGGTGTCCGTGGCACGATGATGTTCGTGTCAAGGCGGATGGAGAAGCAGAAAGCAGATGGGATGTAGACGGGGACCGGACATAAAGCTCATGGACAGGGCTCTACACAGTCTAGCGAGGGCGGGGCACGACCACTGCAGGGGGTTCCTCCTTGCGGGTCGGTCCGTCGCTTTCCCCTCACTTTTCGGGCCCTGGCCCTGGGGACACTATCTGCTGGCGGACGCCTCCTATCGCCATGACAGCCGGGTTACGGCGAGAAGGCGGTCAATGCGCCGCACCACGAGTGACCCCAGGAGGCGTGTTCGGAAGGTTATCCGGGATTAATTAACAGGTCAAAGCTCTCCCTTCATCATCCGGAGGACCATTGGGCTCCCACCTCCCCCTTCTTCTTCCTTCTCCCCCGCACCTGCTGGTGTCACGTGCAGCCGCCACGATGTCCTTCCTGAGCCGGTCGGCGTACTTAGAGGTACCGATGATTCCATGAGTGGGTGAGGAGACCAGGTAGGGGGTCAGAGCGCGGAGGCGCTTCCGGGCTAGCTGCGCACACGGGGGCGTGGGGTGGCCGAAGGGAACGGTCGGGAGAAAGAAATGGGGGTTTCACAATGATTAGCGATGATGCTATTTCGGGTGTTTGATTCAATGATTAACGGAGAGAGTTGGGTCAGGTCGGGTCGAATTGCGTCCGGTTTGGTCGGGAAGCAGATTGCTTCCTATAATCGTGGGCGAGGGACATACACGATGTAATGCAATTGACCAATCTGTTGGAGAAACGCGGGTGATGCCACACTCGCACCGGGAGGTCGGCCCAGCGGCAACGACGCAGGGGAGAGTACGTATCTGGCAATGTTGCACACAGCGCGGATGAGGGGAAGATAGCCAAGCTTCATGAGTCGATGCGTGCCGCATAAATGAAATATTTTACCCGTGCCTCCTCTTCGATGCTCTCTTTGCCAGAGAGCTCTCCGTCCGAGTTCGATTCCAAGATACCGTTGACGCCCGCATTTGCCGAGACTGCCATGTCGGGCAACTCCGCACGGGCATTGTGGAATAAGCGGGGCTCCAAAAAATGCTTAGAGCAAATTGGCAGCGACAGCCGCTTTATGCGGACCGAAGGTCGGAAGGTCGGAATGCGCCTCAAGCTGTAGGAACCCCTTATCAGTAGATCGTTTGATGTGATAATTGCTGTTGTCATTGTCTTTGATACTAACTAACTAACCTTCTGCCTCCCTGTATGCTAAGCAGGGTAAATGTACTGGCCAAGGGTACTCTGAAGGCCTATATAACCGCAGTCATCCGTTGTCTAGCATTAATTCAGAGTGAAGCTTAACCAATCAGTGAGCAAACGGATTTGTTACCGGCATGGGAAGGGTACAGGATGTTGGTTGGTTGAGCTGTCAGCATGGACCGTTAACCCTGCCTTGAACCTTCTTTCCTTTATTGAACCACTGTCGTCATGTACTTATCCGCTGCATGCACCAGCCGGAGGCAGTCAAGTTGGGCTCGGTTACAATCAGGTTGCCCTCGGAGACATTGTTCGCATCTTGGACATTGGGACTCCATGTACGGTAAAGTCGGGGCAGAGGTCCAAGGCTTAACAGCCATGAGTTATAAAAGTCACAATTCATCTTCCTATATCATCATTCTTTTGTCTTCAAGCTAAACCAGCGAAGCATGCGTCTACCGAACACCACTGGGGGTGTGAGGCGCAAAGGCGCAAGCGCTGCTCTGATCGCTGCTCATGCAGCCTCCCCCTGCATAGAAATCAGTTACCAGCACCCGTCACGCACTGCCTGAACACATTCTAAGCACAATCCATATGTCAGCTCCTTGAGGACGATGGGGCCCGCTGCACGATAACCCTGGCGGTCATAATCACCATTGCGGTAACAGACAAGCTACTCGAGCACTGGCAAAGCACACTGGCTACAACCGTACATCTGTCCCAAGGCAAAACCTGCTGCATCGCGAATGCCCAAATACTGCACCTCAAAGCCAAGAGCCCATATGAACGGCAGGGAACCATCCAGTCGGAACCCAAGCACGCACATATGCGAAGCTACATGCGTATCTATATATCTCACACATACCACGGATGCAGCTGCCTCTATTATCACGTAGCAGCCGCTCTCGACATACTGCCTACTATGCGAAAAGCTAAATGTACAACATGATACCTTAAAAATCTCCCCTGAGGGCCCACGGAGGCCCGAACCTCCGTATTACCTCTAGTTGCCTTTTCAACGATTAAAGCACATCCAGCAACGGCCTTCGCCACTCCTTACCAGCCAACAAAACGCCACCACTGTAGCCTAATTCCTCTCCTGGCGATACAACGATCACGCCAGCACCAGCAGCCCCCAACCCCCCACACTAGGCCCACTGCCTGTACACATCATCGCCCGACTCTTCCAACACGGGACGCGGCAATCGCTGATTGACACTGATGTAACTGGACGTTCGCTCCATGTGCGCCTTGCTTCCCCCGCCCACCGGCTTGCTATTTGCCGGACGTACGACGCGCGAGGTGTCGATGACCGAGTTCGCCATCGACATGCCCACTGACTGTGACATCCAGTTCACCCAGTGCTTCTGGCGCTGCTGCGAGGCACACATGGAGTCGGCCATGGACTCGTAGTCTCCGTTAGGTTCGCCGTTGCTCAGCCCGCTGACGCTGCGCCGGGTGAGGCCGAACGCGGAACTCTCGGCGGGGTCGATAGTAGCACCCCTTGGAACCTCCGCGACCGCGATAGAGACTGACGCGTCCCCGCCAGCTGACGCGTCGTCGCGGTTGGATGTACCACCACAGCCGTCACATGGAGGTTCACTCACCGCTGGGGGCCCGGTGATGACTGGGTCGCCCTCACCACTGCTGACCGGGCCATCGATGACACTGGAGGCGTCCTCATCCAATGCCGCCGCATCGTCCTCCAGTGGAACCGCATCCCCGCAGAAGCTAGCGTAGGGGCCAGCGGCAGCACCTTCACCGAAGGCGCCCGAACCCGCAGCTGTCGCTGCAGACGGTGGAGGCGTCCGAGCGGCATCGTAGCGCCTACTGCCGCTGCCGCGCTGCTGCAAGGTGGTGACAGTTGAGGAGAGGGCGACGACCCGTTGCCTTCCAGAAGTTGTTGTGGACATGGTTCCAGCCGGCGCCGCCTGAGCAGTCGAAGGGGCCGGAGGTGCTGCGGGTCCTGCTTCGGTCTCCTCGCCGGCTGTGCGCAGAACAGACTTCAAGCCCTCCATTTCCGGGCCGTCGATGAAGCTCGGGCGAATAGACGCGAAATTGACTTCGTCCTCATCACCGGGAGCTCGGAATGTGGGCGCCGGTCGTTGGGCCGCCGTGAACACGATTGCGGGACTCTCAACCGCTGTGCCGTAACGGCCCTGTGAGCTTCCTTGCCGCCGCGCAGGCTGCGGGCTGACCCGCAGCAGCACCTGCTGTGGAGTCGTACCGGCAAAGGAGAAGTTATCCGCGGAAGCGCCCATGCCGTCATCGACGTCGTCCTCCTCGTCACCACCAGCACCTGCGAATCGCGGGTCAGAGTCCCGCACAACCGCAGCAGCAGCAGCCCTCGCAGGAGGGGGAGCAGCAGGGGGGGGGTTGGGACGAAGCACCGGAGAAGCTACCGGGTTCCTCTTATAAACGTTACCAGCACGGGCACTGCCGGTGGGGAGCGCAATGGAATTATTTCCACTGTCCGATCCCATGCGCGCTAAAGCTGTAAGTGCGGCGCCGCCGGCGCACACATGACCCGTGGCCCCGCTGGCGGCAGTTCCACTGCCGCTGCCCCGCTGGCTGCCCTGCGTGGAGCGGACTGAAAGCCCCGCTGATGACCCAGCACTGCTGCCCGACCCATTGAGGTGGCGCCGCGAGTTGCGGGAGTTGGCTGGTGGCAAGCGCTGCAGGGAAACTTTCGGTGCAGGCGCCTCATTCGTGGCAGCTGCTTTGTGCTCCTCCTGGACAACTCGTAACTGGGTAAACTTGTTACTGGACCGGGGCACCTCCTCCGCGTCGCCCTCTGCTATGGGCGTCATGGCAGTGTGCCGGTAGCTCTCCCACGGGCCACCAGGGTCCATAGAGCTCAAGCCAATGCCGCTGCCGCAAGCCGTGCTGCCGCTGCCACGACCCCCTGCACTGCCGCTGCCGTTAAGCATCGCATGATCAATCATTGACGACAGCTTCGAGGACGTGATAGTGTCATAGGTTGCCGGCTGCAGATCCCTGGAGCTGCCTGGGGTAGGCAATGGTGGCAGTGGCAGTTTGAGCGGCGGCACAACTCTGGCACCTGAGGGGGCGTTGCCGGCAGACGGCTCGGGGGTGGCGGCTGGGGGCGCGTACGAGACGGCGGGATCCAGTGCCAGACTGAAAAGGGAGGCATCACTGACGGACATCCCAACCCCCGAGGCTGCTGGCCCGCCGGGTGGCTTGCTAGGCGGTACCGCGCTGCTGGCTTCTTCATTGAGGTCCCGCGTGGCGTCCGCTGGAAGTTGGAAGATAAAAGGGAGAGGGACGCGTGGGGGGAACGGAAATGGTAAATCTGGACAAAAACAGTATGGGAACCCAGCTGAGGGTTAACATCACTGTAGGTCAAGGGTAAAAACTCCCAAGTCCAAACTTATTGAACTCAGGGACGGCGCTGTCTACCATCACGAGACGGGGGGCTAGGTGCAGCGGACATGTCAAAAGACACCAGGCCTTTTCGGGGACCCCACTTACCAGGGGGCTGCAGCGGTGACGACAATTTCGATAGCTTAGGGCCCTGCACGGAAAGTCGTTGTTCCAACACAGGTAATGTTAAGAGTCTCAAGCTGCACGAAAGGACCTGCATCTGAACTGCTTCCTTACCTCCATCCATGCTGATATGACTTCGGAGTTCGCCGAATCGGGTGGCCGTAGCGCTGGCGGTACGTCGAATCTGGGCGGGCTGCGCATTGTCGCCGAAATGGGCAGTGCCGAAGGGATGGGGAGCGATGCTGAATCCGTCAACTCGCTCGCTGCGTCATCAGTTTCATCGTCGGTAGGGTCGACGGGCGGTGCACCGACGCGTGGGGAGTCCGTCACCTCCGGCGGCGGAATAGAGCTGGACGCAGGCGCTGGTCATGGGAAGAAAAGGACGAGTGCACATAGTCAAAAGGGGCAAGGGCAGCTGCGGTACGTGTAAAACCGCCATGCAGGCCCGGGCGGCTGGAATGCAAGGCCGTTACATGCCGATGCAATCTAAGCATGAATGATTACCTAAGTCACCTGTTGATTAGCCTGCAATGAGACTCAGGCAACGGTGTTCCAGTTAACGTATTGCATACATCCGTAACAGCGTTGCCTTGCACGAACAACACACACACACACACGCGTGCCGTGTACGGGCAGGCACCGCGTATCATCGTCGCCAACAATCACTTCATCATCCATCAAAATGCGACTCGGGAATGCCGGGTCCCTAGGATACGAACAAACTTACTGCTCCGGGATTCCGCGCTGCTTGTGCTTGCACCCGGTGCACGCTTTTCCAGCGGTCGTGCATTTGGCCTTTCCCTGTTGAACAATGTAACAACCTGGTTGGGAGTCTCACCGACGCTGCTCGCAATGGCGCTGGCTGAAACACCGCCCTGCCCCGCATTGGCCGTGTGCGGCATTAACGTTTGGCGGCTTGCGTCGGTTTTTGCCGCATCGGGCCCAAGGGCGTCTGGTTGCGGCTTGACGTAGGATAGCCTTGACTGCTCAGTGGACTTGGGATCGGTTGAAGCAACGCCTTGGGCCTTGCGAGAACCCTGCTGGCCCAAAGCCGTCTCCTGACTGCGCAAGGTGCTGGGTGTACCGCGTTGCTTGGCGCGCAGGGCACCGCTGAGTGGTCCATGGGGCGCTGCGATACGATTAGGGCCGGCGGGCAAACAGTTATGTAGCACCGATGCCATGTGGAGCTGCTTTTGTGCTTTTGCAGTGACTTGCAGTGACAGGGCTCATCGGACCTTACCGGTCACACCTGTGGGCCGATTCACTGGCCGGTGCGTGGAGACATATAGGTACGTGTGCGACTGGAAGATGGAACACGGGTAGCAACATCCGGCGCCGATCTCTGACAGAGAGGTGGCGTCCTTCAGTCCGTACTTGCCGCTACAAAAATTGGACAGGGATGGGCAGAGTAGGTAAGACATCTATGGTGTCATGGCAATGGCGCACCCATGCTCGTGCCTGCGTTTAAAAGCTGCAACCCTACCGTATCCGCTGCCGTTGAATGAGATTTTCAGTGTAGACGACGGGAAGGCCCATGCACAAGACCCTGCAAGGCAAGAAGAAGTTCCGACGGTTGTGGGGCAACAGCTAAATTTTGTAACAAAGGGTCCATAAGACGACTTACCCGCAAGCAAGCTGCGACCGACAAACCCTGCGATACTCTTCAAGCCCACGCGGCCCAATGGCGAAAGCACTGCATATGCAGGGGCGGGGGGCTTAGCGCTTGAAGCATACACGGTGCGGCCCCCTGCCCCTTCCGCATCCTTACCCAGCACATGGTATGCCATGCGCGTGGGACACGCCATCCTCGCCGTCGAGGAGTGACACGTTCGCCGCAAGGACAGCGGCGGGACAAATACAGGCCTGCAGGTCCATGAATGAGAATAAATGTCAGGAAAAGTTATAGTTGCCGTTGAGTTGGATATTGCCTTGCATATATTCGTATTATTCGTTGTTTAGGGTAACAACCCTTTTACCTGTGCTACGAGCTTCACCCCAACCTGCGGGAACAAGACAACTTCACATTACAGCTATTTTTGGGATTGAGACTGCTAACAAAGTTTACCCGCTCGTAAGTAGTCGGATCAACGTAGCTGCAACACTCCAGAGAGCGAGCTGCAAGAAGGAAGGTGGCTTTCAGCTGTTAGACCCCTCTCGACAGCTGAAAAAATACAAACCCTGCTCACCGCCGCATACAAGGCTATGCTTTGGATCATCCTCTGAGTTGCTGTTATCCATCACGCCTAATGCAATCCTTGCGACAGTGCCCACTTGCTGTTCGAATTAGGTTTGCATCAAGATGCCATTATGAGCACCTTCAAAGCAAGATTAACCTTAAGGGAAAACATAGAAATGCTACAGTTTGGAGCGCCTGAGGTAAGCAGTTGACAAAAACAAAAATGTCCGGCCTGGTCATGACTTGCACAGCATGGATCGGCAGCACTGCCGTACATGTCCGCAGCTGGTTACGCTGTTTTACCTATGGACATTTGTATTATAAGCTGTACTATTTAGCGTGCTTTAAGAGATATTGGCCCGTTCCGACCCCCGCTCGCGTTCCACTCCCTGAGCTGTAAAGACCAACTCAGCAGTCACAGCTGACCAATTTTCCTGGCAGCTGCCTGCGTACTTACAGGCTGCCTGCTATAAATGATGACCGCGACGTCCAGTTGAGTTCCTTTAGGAAGAGCAGGGCTCTTCCGCCCTGCAGAAGATTTGCGTGGCATGCACGGCGGAGTCCGTGAGGAGGTGCAGAAGGCCTGGGGAAGGCAGCTTTACATTCGCCGCCGCAGCCGCATCAACTGCTCCAATTTGAACTAGCAATTGCGCGGACTGGAATACCAATCGAGGTTGCTGCGGTCACAGCACAACCTAACCTGCCCCTGGCACGAGGCCTGTCCGATGCGGTTGTGTCTCGTCGGCTCTCGCTCACCTAGGTGGCGCTATGCTCGTGCCCTTCGTGTTTCCCTCCGCCAGCTACTGTCCTTTGAGCCAAGCAACACGACTATCCCGGGCAGCTGTAGCGCAAAAAGCGCTGACGGCACCCACCCTCACAGCTGCACAGAACCAAATTATCTTCTTAGCATCAAGAGACGCAGTTCTGCAATGGCGCTCGACTTGATAGCGCTGCTGAAGGCAGGTTAGGTGCGCGCCCGCCACTACACGCCCTTCCTTGCAAACCCACTTTTCACCCCACCTTCTCCCCTGCATGTCGGAACACCTTCGAGCAATAACCCGTCCCGCAGGAAGTGGAGCATGGGACTGACGCCATCATTAGATCTTCCGAATCTTTGAGTTTTGTTGGGGGACCTGGGCCTAGTGGTTAACAGTCAATATCCTGAGCAATGTTTATGCTCGTTATCGGCGAGCTTTATGACCCTTGTCCAACCGTTCGTAGTATTGTGCAGAGGCGTGTCTCTAATCAGTAAGTCGGTTTTACGCGGATCGCCTTTTGGTTATGTAACAGCTTTTTCCATTCAGCAGATCTTCCGGAAGATACAAGGAAACGTCACAACCATCGAAACAGAAAAGAAGTACAGGTGGGCTATAATGTACAGACATTTCAACATTTAAAGTCTATAAAGAGCGTCGCCCAACAAATTGCACAGGTGCCTCCTCACGTCGCCACATTGTCGGGCGGGGTGGGGCCCCTATCCCGCCGCCCTCAATACACCAAACCCCACTCCACCCCTTGCTCTCCCAGGACCGCTATCAGTCCGTCACTTGAAGGTGAAGCTGCGGTTGCCTGACCTAGGCATCACAGCGGAACGCTTGCCGCCCTTCAGCAGGAACTCATCAGGGATGTCGTATGGATTGAACGCCATCGGCTGCCGCCCGCCACTGCGACCGCGACCTCCTCGGCCGCCACCACGAGCCCCACGGTCGCCGCCGCGTCCCTCCTCTTTAGTCGCCACTGGAACAATGTTACTCCGCGGGAAATCGGCCATAAGGCCCTTCGGCGCGAGCTTGCCGCCACGGCCGCCGCGGCCTGATGGTGCCGCCGCCGCCTTCATCTCTCCCTGTTGTAACTGCTGCTGCTTCTTGTGATGCTTGTGTGGCCGCTTCTTGGCAAAAGGTCCTACCGTGTGACCGCCGTCGCTGTCACTATCACCGCCGCCGTCGCTGCTTGAATCTCTGCTGTACGGCACTTCAGAGCCGCCATTCCCACCAGCGCCGGCGGGGACCTCGGTCGTAAAGCGCCGTCGCTTGGGCGCAGCAACATGCCCACCATCGCCGCCGGTGTTGCCATCCTCGGCAGCACCATTGCTCTGGGCACGCCGTTTCTTGGCTTTATCTCCTCCCTTCTTCCGTGCCATCTGGGCATATGGCAGTAAGGATAGACAGAGATCAATGCATTTTCCCATTAACGTCCCGGCAGGCACCAAAAAGACCAGCGTGATTAAGAAGCGTAAACATAAATGCAGACACAGAAGTGGGGCGATGGCGAAGCAGCTGGTCAGTGGATTGCATGTCTTGGACGATGCCGCGAGGTGCGCAACAGGCAGTCTGTGCATGCTCCGGTGCAAAGCGCAAGATGATAATTTGGTCCCAGAAGCGCGTAAGGTGGGCGCCAATCCGAAAAAAGACGGGAAAGACGTAACCCACGCCACAGGCGCCAAGGACCGGGTGTTTACATAGCAGCCTAAGCATATGCCATCGCCTTCGTCGCATATTGGAACATGACTACCCCCGATAGTTGTGAAGGTAACGTTAGACGACGCGACTCCAATGCCCCAGGATGAAAAATACAGACTCAACACCAACTATAAGAGGTCCCTTGGCCCTAGGACTGTGCTGCCAAACCCGAATCGGTCAGCGCAACAAAAAGCCATTTCATACCTGGGACAATGGCACCGGCACGTAGTCCAGAACATCTAGCCCTAGCTCCGAACCTGCCACCCGCCGCTGCGCACCATCGCCACTGCCGTCGCTATTTTCGCCCTTGCCAACAACGCCGCAGTCCCCGCTTGCTTGGCCGTCGCCGCCATTGGCCACTTCGTCGTCGTCGTCGCTATCCGTATCGGCGATCGTGCGTGCAGCTGGTGCTTCCCAACTGGCCGCCGCCGGTGGAATGGCGGCGCCAGAGCCGGATTCACCTCCGTCCTCCCTCTGAGCCACCACGGCACCCTGTCCGTCAGCGCCGATGACGATCTCCACATCCTCCCCTTCAGCTCGCATCGCCTCTACAGCAGCGCGAATATCGGCAGCAGTGGCAGAGGGCTTCGCACGTGGTTCCGGCGCTGCGCCTCCCGAAACCTTGCCTCCAGCGGCAGCACCATCGGCAGCCAAGGCAGCGGCGGCGGTGACCACTTCACACTCCTTCGCGCCCCCAGCTGGCATTGCTGATGACTGCTTTGCCATTGCAGCAGCAGCGAAGGGTAACGTGAAAGTCGCTCGAAGGCGTTTGGCACGCTGCTGCGCCAAACGTTCCTCCTCGTCAGCGTCTGTGTCGTCGCAGCTGCCAGCTGCCACGGCCGAGGTGGTGGCGGCAGGCTGATGAGCAGCAGCAGCTTGCACCCGCCGCGCCACCAAACTGCCGGAACCAGAGCTTCCACCGAAAATGGCGCCCAGTAAGGATGTTCCTGAGGCAGCCGCACCACCACCGCTAAGTTGTACGCGCTGTACAGCAGCCACCGCCAGGCGCGTCGGATGTGCAGGCACCACTGCAGCTGTCGCTGTCTCAACTCCAGCCGGCGCAGGGTGGGACGCTGAAGGCCCCGCGCGCCAGCCACCACCCTCCCTGGTGTTGTCCTTTTCATCCGGGTGCGGGTCACAGGGAGGGCCTGATGACCCGGCTGTCAGTGCCGGTGCCGGTGCTGCATTCGCCAGAGGCGCCGCTGAAGGCGGCGGCTGAGCAGCGGTGGGTGCGCTGGGGGCGACCCCGCCAAATAGCGCCGCAGAGCGGGACACCGCTGCCGACTTGAGCGGCGGAGGCTTGAGTGCACGGGGCTTGAGTGCCCCAGGGGCTGCGGGGCCTGGACCAGCCTCGTCAGCGGCCACCCCACCCACCGCCATGCCGCCAGCCTTCAATTTCGGCACATTTTGGACGTCCATGCCGGGCACACTTTTCCCGTCTGTTGCCCCGGCTGTGGCGGCTGCAACTTCCTTTGGGTCTTCGCGGCTCGACAGCCCTTGGTGAACTGCTGCGTCTGGGCCGCCCTCCTTTGTTGCATCTACAGCCGGTTTCCCCGGCGTCACTTTAGCCAGCGCTTTGGATGGATCCTCCGCCGCCGCATCAGCGGGCTCGCCTGCGGACGTGCCGGCGATTAGAGCCTTAGCCGCCGGCAGGGCCCCTGCCGCTGCGCCGGCCGCCTTCGTTGCTGTCCGAATGGGCGCCACCGCCCGCGGCTTGAGGACAGGAAGGGCCGCACGCTGCGCTGCTGCAGCCGTGGTGGTGGCGCCAGCCGCTGTGGCCGCAGGCACCGCTGCGGGCACCGCCACTGCACCCACACCAATGCCGCTCCCACCGCCATCGCAGCCGCCAGACAGCGGCATTTCGATGGGTCTGTGTTTTGCGTCATTGATGGCGGCCACCAGCTCGCCCATGCGCCTCGTGGCCACCTCGGAGATGGCCCGGCCCAGCACCGACTGCACCCGCTTCGCGTCCTCTTCACGGGCCGACACCGGTCATCAAGTGGCGGTCATCAAGGCACGGGAAGGCAGCCGTAGCCGGGCAGCCGAAGCGCAGCCCAACGCCACGTAGGAAAAGTCATTTACGGATGGTTTATTTGGTAAAACAAGATATGTGCACCTGCGCGGTCTGTCCGTCCCTCAGCAAGGCACTGCTCATGTTCCATGCTCCAGACACCGGCACGCGTCAGCCCTCGATCACCAGCGCCACTGCCGGGTATGCAACCCTAAGCCTGTACACCGTTCCTTAGGATCTCCTTGAGCTCCGGTCGGGTTCGGTCAGCAGTTTTGGCAGCTCATCATCGTGGTCGCACACGCCGGTTTCATGCAACCCAGTATCATTCCTCCCCGGGTACCCGCCCACCATATACGCGCACCCGGCATTGCTTGCACCAGTGCCACCAGTTGCGCCTTGGACAGCACGTAGCCGGTGCTCTCATCCTCCAACCGACACACGCGGTCCCGCCACGCCAGCAACGCCGCGAACACGGACGTCTGCTGGGGACTCAGGTTCAGTTGCCAGCGCCGGAGCACCTCCTGGAGGGGCGATGAGGGGCACCGAGGCGGAGAGTCAGCGGCAGCGGGAAACGGGGCAGTGGCGGCAGCGGGAAAGGCGCTGGAAGGGCGGGGTTAGACGAACTACTGGCGCGAGTGAAGCACATACCAGAGATAGATAGACGATAGTCCAGGAGAAGACAAATGCTGCATTTCAGGAATATTCGTCGACCAGTGATGACTTGTGTAGGAAGGGCGGGGAGTGCTTTGAAGGCGGTATAGGGAAATGGATGGATGTGACGGGACGTGACCACAACGCGGCAAGGGTGGGAGAAGGGTCGGCGCATGGCGGGAGAGCCTCTCTAGCGCCTCACCTGGTAGCCGTCGGGAGTGAGCACTGGCTTGCGGTACGTCTTGAGACACAGCTGCCGACTGCGCTCCAGAACCAGGCCCAGGGCGCCGCCTGGGTTATTGGCCGGTAGAGGTGTAGCTAGGGAAGGCGGAATCTGTGACGGGGTAGTGGTACGAGGTCCAGGAGACCGAGTCACGATATGCACGGGGACTGTGGAAGGCCCCAAACCCCAAATCAAAGGAGGGTGAGGGGCTGCGAGCCGCGCCGGCGCCAAGGGCTCACGAGGCATTCAGGCCGACAGGTAGAATCGAAGGACAGCGACTGCAGTTGTGGCGATGCAGCTCCCGGCGCACAAAGCACACAAACATCTCGCGAAAATATTCACCTCCGCGTGCAGTTGCAGCCTACCGGATCTCAGGCAGCCCATACTCCTGGCCTTAGCCCATACATACTGTCCCCAGGAGAAAAACCAAATGGCTCATCCGTTCCACGCATGCTGCTGACACACGCGGGATGCACAAACAGACTCTCCCACAAATGCCTCATGCAAATCGACTCTCACGGTCATCGACGGACAATCATCAAGTTGTCGCAACAGCATCTAGCACAGCGTCCCTCACCCCCAGCCACATACACCCAAAACTATGATAACCAACAGAGAGCTCACCCGCTGGTCCGGCAAGGCCGCCAGCTGCTCCCTCAGTTTGTCGTACACGTACAGCAAGTAATGTGTGTCACATCGGGCATAGTGCAGCATCGGCGGGCTCAGAGGCCGCACTCGCCAGTCCGCCATCTGGTACCGCTTATCAGCCTGAGGTGCGGGAAAGCCAGGGGGGGTGCGGGAACATGAGCACGGGCAGTATGGGCTTGTGCGCGACATATGAGGCAGGCGCATATGAGACGACGCATGCCTTAGGCGGCGCGACGCAGGTAAACCTGCCATAGGAAGTTTAATTGGGTTAAGAAGAGAGCAGGATGGGAGTAAAGGCGGGAGGAGGGAGGGACACAACACAAAGACCAGAACTGTCGACTGCATTGCGGCGCGTGGTGTGCTTTGGTTACAGACAACAGACCGAGGTGAAGGGCGGTCGGGCGGAATCCGAGCGGTGCAAGGACAGCAATGTCCACATGGACATGTCCCATTACCCACCTTTGCTCTTTGGAACCACAATGCGCACATGGACCCGTATATTCTACCCTGTCAAAACCCACAGCAGCCCCGCAAGCCCCCGCATTCCAACCTCCAATCCCACATCCCCAAACCCCCAACATCCCGCATCACACCACTCCCCAGCTCTACCTGCACCCCGCATATGCTCTCCAACAGGTACGCCAGACCGAACGAGGGCAATCCCAGCACCCGTGCCGCCTGACCCGTGTCGAACATGTTGACCAGGAACAAACTGAAGTCCCGTTGCAGCCAATCCACATCGCTGTCCGCGCCGTGGAATACCTGGGGGTCGGCGTCCAAAGTGAGTGGCGGGTGGGAATCATATCATGCAATGAAACCGAAAACGATCTGCCGGCGTCCAAAGTGAGTTGGTGGGGAGGGTATCGACGGGCTGAAGTTTGATGGTGAGAGGGGTGCGTGCTGTGCGGACTCACGGGTTGCTCCTGCCGCATCTCGGTGGTCGGAATGTACGCGATGTAAGATATATGAGAGCAGTCCTTACAGCACGGTCGCTTCCGCCGCCATACCATTGCAACGAACAATAGCAACAGCAACGCGTACATCGCTGGGCTAGTGCACTCACCCACCTTGACGACCCGCGGGTCAGCGAATACTCGTGCAAGGGCAGGTCCCAGCTGGTTCCGGAGCGCCAGAGTGTCCACCACATAATCCGTTGTACGCGTGGAAATCTGCATTAGGCAAGTAAAGCCCTGGAACGACCTGTGACAGTGTGGACAGTGTGGGAAGGCACAGAGGAAACTCGGCAGGTGAGGCAGCGGGAACTCGGGCGGCGAAAAAGAGGAGAACAGAATCCAGGATAGAAGATCAACACATGCATGACGTATCAGCACGCGCCCAGGATAATGGATTGTGCCGCAGTAAGATACCATTTTGGGGGGAGGGATGTGCACAGCTGCACACGCGCAGTGGCTACTACGAGAATCCATCCCTGAACGCACACACACGCGTACATACTCAACCACTCACCGGTGCGAATGGTGCTCCAGGTCCACCGCCAGCTCCTCAGCTGCCTCCAGCTCCGAAACCATACCCGCCAGCGCCTCCTCTCCATCCACCCACACCAGGGGGGTGTCCTCCGGAGCAGGTGGCGGCTGCGGGGACTGTGGTGGGGGCTGCAGCTGGTCAGGGCGGTAGCTGAGCTCCGCGAGGTTCGCCGCCAGCGGGTGGGGGTAGTCCTCGGCTAGGGGGGCAGTTCGCAAGCGGGGCGCGGCAGGGTGGGGCTCAAAAGGGAAAGGGGGAAAGCGGGAACAACGCCATCAAGATTAGCTTCGTGATCCCAATTTGACAGGACAACAAAGCAGCGGTACCAGGTGCAAACACGGGACAAAGGCGGAAAAGTTCTGTACGCGTCGTAGCGCGCAGGCATACATACATACAGATCCCCAGCTATCACAAGCACCAAGCCAACCTCCACACGCCGCGCTGCGCCACCACACCCGGACGACCCTGATTCCTCTGCCCCAGCTCACGTGCTCCCGGTGCCGCTTGATAGACCCGTGGGTCGCATGTTTCCCTCATAAGGCCCCTCAGGTGGTCCACTCGGGGCCTGAAGGGCACCTCCAACCGGTTGTCCGGTGGCGGGTCGAAGCTGTCCTGTGGTCGGGTCAGCCCCACTGCATGTCTCATCAGGCCGTCACGACCCCTGGAGGGCCGCACGGGGTTCCCGCCTGGTGGGGGGCGGCCCAGCGGGAGGGAGGGAGGGAGGAGGACAGCGGGAAGAAGGAAGGAGAGGGAGGGAGACACGCTGGGTGTTAGGTGGAAGGAGAAGTAACGGCTGATGGATAGACGAGGACACGTCGTATCTCGGCCCTACTGCAGGGCTAAGGTTAGGGGCAGCGATGATGACGGCCGCAACCGTGGCAGAGCTGCGGCCTCATCCCTACGTTGTGGCCCCTTCGTTGGGCCCCTTGGCACTGGACCCTACCATGTTGTGGCAATATGGTAGGATATGGGATGGGAGGGAGAGCAGGTAGATTCTAGTGCGGGTTGTACAGAGCCGAGTTGGGCATGATACGATATGAAATGACATGGTATGTGCGTGTATTTGTGACACTTCGCTGGTTGTGAAGTGCACGCCGGGGGAATCCTGGAGGCGTGCGACCCACATGGAGGGGCTAAACCCCCCGAGGAATCATCTGCTGGGCGCCAGCAGTAGGAAAAACACAGACACGCAGATATTTGGCGGGATAAGGGGCACGAGGGCAGACGTGCACTCATGAAACCAGGCCAGGTCTGGTCAGGTTCGGTTGTGGTGGGATCGCACCAAAGGATGGCAGGTTGGCCAGGAGCGCCGGGTCGTCCATGCCCCCAGCCGCCACCGAGCCTGCAGCCGGACGCCGCGGCCCTGCTTCCCGGCCCCGCGCCCGCGCCCTCTCGGCGTCCAGCGCTCCATCGATCTTCTCTACCGCATCGTCCAGCAGCTCGCTGCTCCAGGCGGCCACCTCATCCGCATCCATCCAGTCCGGAGGGGGAGCGCGGCGGTTGCGGATCATGGACTGGGGGACGGCAGGGGGATAGGGAAGGGGTTTGTGGGGGACGAGGGAGGTCTAGAGAGGGTTGCGGGTTGGTGAGTTAGGGTGTGCAGAAGAGGAGGGCTAAGAGGGGACTGGTGGGGGCTATGGCAGGGTTTAGTTTATGCCGGCATCATGGCGGCTCGGTCCAAGCACGCAAGATGAGGCGGCAACTGACCTCGCACGTCGACATCAGCTGCGTGATGGTCGCCAGTCCCTCCTTTAACTGCTCTTTGTAGGCAGGGAAGTTGCTGTAGTACTGCAAACATGCACAGAAACCAATGCAAGGGACAAAAGGAAGTAAATTGAGCCACATAAGTGTGCCTGGCGGCCGCCATGCTTCGTCATTTGATATCCAACGCTCACATAATGCTCGCCGCCCAGTGGTAGCTGCACCTCAAGAGCCGCCTCTGCGGTCCCATTGAGCTTACGCGTAATATCCGCTAAAGAAGATGACTTCGGCTGTTCCGCGGTCATGGTCAGAATGATTCTGTTAGCATAAAAAATTAAAGCATTAGAGAGCCACTTGGCCCTCCTGGAAAGTCCTTTGCTCCAATTACTTCAATGAGGTGAAAAGATAGTGCGAGACTCAAAACCTGCAGAGTTTCCTAAGTCGTTCCGAAATTAAGAAGGCTGCGAGGGAAGGTAAACAGAAGCCTTCTATACACATGATCAGAGTGATGCCCTTGCGAGGCTGTTACCGCAAGCACCCGTCGCGACCATTCAGGTTCTAACCGTTAGTTAAATGCCGTACTGGGCTGCCGAAGCATGGGGGTTCATGTACAAACAAACTGCGTTACACGGAATTGTTCGTCCATAAACCGCATAACACGCGACACAGTAGGGATACATTGCTGCGTGTTGGATGCGTTTATCCCTGAATGCGTCAACTGCTGTCGAGGTGAAGGATGCTCACGAATTCTCGACTATAGCACGCAAGGCATACATACGTATGCATAACAACGCCACTCGTTAGCCATCATCATGCCAATTCCTGCCCGCGGCCCGGGTCACGGGTTAAACCACAGCCGCACATCACATCTTCAAGCATCTCCACACATTACTACGCAGCCCCACCACGCAACTGCAACATTCGCACACGACCAGCTCGATCATTCTGCTTCCCCAAGCCACCACCCTGAAGACTCTCATTGCAAACCCCACGAAGACTAAGCACGGGAACACGGGCCCTACCGAGGCTCAATGTCGCTCCTTGAGGCGCCCCATGCGGTCGGTCTAACCAGGACATACGCGAGACGCCAACCCAAAACATACAGCTGATTGCACGGCCCCGCCCATCGCGTTTCCCAGGTAACCGCAGACACCCGAAACACACACCGGGAGGGAGGGGAGATCTACGCATTGCAAACTAGTCCACATGCCATACGGGCTCAGTTCATGGAAACGCTACACGCCCTCACGCTCCTCCCCTTCCCCTTGCGACTGAGTTTGCGTCATGAGGAGGTCCCGCAGGAGCAGCCCCGTCCCCAGGCCTTGACTGTCCAGCGGCCCCTCGGATTGGGCCACCAAGCCACCGCCACCGTCATCGCCTGGGGCGGCGGTGCAGGCCGCACAGGCAGCACTTCCCTCCGCCCCCTCGCTAGCCCCTAAGCTCCTATGCCTCTGAGCCGCACTGCCAGGCTTTGACATTACACCAGGACCCGCGGCACCATCATCGACGCCGCAGCCTCGCCCCAGGACCCGAAGCTCCTCATCCTCTCCTGCATTGGAAACTCCCGCCTCACGCCCGCAGCTGCCGTACACGCCGGCGCTGCCGCCGGCGCCCAGGTCATCAACCCCAAGAGGCGCCGCCGCCGTCGTCGCCTGAGTGTCGCCTCCCGCCGCTAGCGCGAGCAGCTCGGCATCAAGCTCTTCCGTACCACCGTACTGCCGTACATCAGGTGCATCATCCACATCCATGAGGGCAGCCCCATGCCGTAATGCCACCACTGCCTTCGCTTCCACAGTGTCCATCTCTGCCAGCATCCGAAGCTCCTCATCCATATCGTCCAAGACATTCCCCCGTGTCTCCGCTGGCGCTGATGCCGCGGGGTCAGCGGCGGGATTGGCAACGGCCTCCGTACCGGCGGCCGCCGCGTCCCCGTCCTGATCGCTTTTGCGGCCGCCGCCGCCGCCGCCGCCGCCAACATCACGAACCCCACTGTCGCGCCGCTGCGCCACATCCGGCGGTGGCACCACATCGTATCCCATCGCCAGTGCCATGAGCTCCTCATCGGCATCGTTGTCGTACGCCATTGCGCTGCCGGCGGCGGCACGATCCCCACGTCCTTCTGGCCCTCCGTTGCCGGCAGGGCCCGCCTGCGGCTGGCTGCCAGAAGGAAGTCTCTGCACCGCCGCCGGTGCAGTCGCTGGCGGCAGCGGGCCAGGCTTGTAATGCAATTCCTCCGCCAGCTCCATGAGCTCATCCATATCCACATCGTTGGCGGCTGCGCCACCGCCGCCCCCAGCTGCCGCTGCCGTTGTTGTCCCTGCGAGCTGCTGCGGCTGCTCCCGGGGTCGCGGCGGAGGCGCCATTTCCAACTCGTCCATAGCATCGTAGGCGGCTTCCTGTCTCCGGAGTACCAGTATGGAAACAGTGCAAACCGGAGCATATCATAAAACCCGCCAAACAGGGACAGATGAATAGACGGGTGGAGTCAGGTTTGGGCGTACGGCACAGGACGAGTGACAGCGCGTGGCGGCTTTAGCCACCTCCTTATATCTCTGTCTGTCAGTAGTACGGAAGGAACTCTAACGTATGTCGCATTCCGGTGCTTTGTAGACCTCCGAAACGGCGATCCCTTCAAGCGTCGCCAGCACTTCACCCGCCACCTCGCACTCCCGCACTGCCGCCCGTCGCGGCCCATCGCGAGGCAAAGGGCAGCCTACCTTTCCAAGCAGGTGCACATGTGCCTCACCTCAATAGCAGTAACACACACACACACACAGAGCTTTCCCCCACGCCTCCATCGCTAAGGCCTCCCTTCCGCCAACCCTTAAATTGATAGTAAGGGAATATCCTCCACATCAACCCCTATTGCATATATATGTAGTGGTATATAACAACTGTATACATGCAAACATACAGATATCAATTATATAAAACTCCCAACCCTTCTTCCTTTCCACCCACCCACCCATTCCGTCTCCCTCTGGAGGGCCACGAGCTCATCATCCTCGTCATAGTCGCCACCGCCACCAGCGGTATTAGCTCCACGGCCAGTAGTAGCAGCAGCAGCGGCCGGCGTTGCCTGGAGAACACACACACACACAGAGAGAGAGAGAGAGAGAAGCATACGTCATAATCTACTCGCGCTGTGTTCCGATGTTGCCTAATGTGTGCGGGGGGGAACCAGCAACCACATAGCACATAGCTGTACTGAACCTACCTTCGTATTCACGTGTTGCTTCATGGCAATGGCAACGAAACAGGAGCATGGCAAACAGGACTGCGCGGGCGCATTGCCATGATCCCACTCTTCCCTCCACCACAAAGAGAGGGAAAAGAAAACCACCAGTCAATGTTGTCAGTCATAGTAGGGTAACACCATTCCATTCCTCCAGCGGGGTATAAGACGCGCGGCGTTGTCGCTCCACGAGCACATAAACCTGCCTGATGAGCAGTTCCTGCATCCCCACGACCGCCAGCAGCAGCACCAGCAGCAGCTCCTCCCCCTGCTCCATCTGCTGCTATAGCCGGTGCCTCGGCTTCCCGCGCCTCCGGGGGAAAGATAAGGCCCAACAGGTTCTGCCTCATGCTGCCCATCTTGGCCTGGGATGGGGGGAAAGGGAGGGTGAGCGGGGACATGATAACCCACCGGAGACTCAGCCCAAACCGACAACGTGATGCAAGCGTTTGATAACCTAAACCTATGTATATATGATGTTGTTACAGGGTGGTACAGCTTCACCAGCGGCCCCCTTTCCCGAGGCAATTCCCTGCTCTCCCCTGCGAGAGGGGCACCCTAATCCGTTCACCCCATCCGGCTTTAGCATGTATTCGTTGGGTTCAGCAACCCACCACCAGCATCCAACCAAATCTAGCGGATCAACGGCGCCTCAACTTAGTTTCTGGTCAGCTCGCAAGTTGCTATAATCACGCCCTATACCGTCCACAATATGGGGGGCCACCTCCCAATTCAGCACCCCTCAAACACCCGCGAGGTCGGCAGGCGGATTTGAACCCGGACACTCTGTATGTATGTATGTATGTATGTATGTATGTATGTATGTATGTATGTATGTATGTATGCATGCATACATGTATGTGTTTTTGGGGAGCGGGGGAGGAGCAGGCAGACGAGTGCCCCAATACCCACTCACTCGGTGCATCCATCCAGGAAGCATGTACGGCACGCAGGTAGACAGCCATGGGCCTTATGACACCAGGCCCCTTCTTAAAACCAACTTATTTCTTTCCACCGCCCCCCATCCCAGGCCAAGTTGCTGAAATGCGAGATCTCTATACCTTTGAACCCCTCCCCCGGCTCTTCCCTCCCTCCTAACCGCCACATTTCGACGCCCCTCCCCCCTCCCTCTCATCCCAATTGCGCACACCTTGACCAGCCTGCTCCTGCCCGCCTTCTCAAGCTTCGTGACAAATGTGTCGAAATCGCAGTGCGGGTAGAACCGGGTTTGCCACCGCTGATACAGCTCCAACAGCCGCCTCAGGTCGGCTACCTGCGCCAGGGAGGCGGTAAGTTCTTGTGTTCTACAAAAACTCCGAATGAAAACGCAGCAGCGCTCCCGCCCCGCCTTTTATGCTTCAAGGGCAGTGAGAGGACGCTCCCAAGGAGCAATCTTAGCCTCAAGGTGCGTGACTAAAAATGAGCATGTGGGTGTTCGTGTGCGCTCAGACAATCATGCCGCATGTGCTTGTGCCCTTGCTTCGTCTGTCTGCACCGTCTGCCTGTCCACCGAGGAAGGGGCCGTACGCGTGCGTGCGTGTGTCTGTACGCTTCAATGGGCGGCGTGGGCACCCCTCCCTGACCCCACCACTGCCGCCCTGGGGGGCTGCTCTAGAGCTTACCACCCATCAGTTATCACCAGGCAATCCGCCTCAATCCCCCCCCTCATCTCCCCAGTCTTCCTAACCCCAACACAGCGGGCATATCCCTCTCGCGCCATGCGTCCAAGTCTACAGGCCCCAGCCGCGCACTCCCGAGCCAGGTCCCTCCGGACCCGGGCAGGTCCCCACCTCGTGCCCCTCCCCCTGAAAGGAGGCCTTAAAGGCGGGGGCCATCTTGTGCCAGATGTCATTGAAGCCGCCGTCGGCCTGGCCGTGCGGGAGGCCGTACGGGAAAGGGCAGCGTAGGGGCGAACGGCGAAGGCTGAGGAGTGGGGGCGACGGGGAAGATGAAGACAGCTCGCACGTTTGTAGATGCGGGCGCCTTACGAACGTCTACCCTCTTCTGTTGTTTCCACTGGGCCCCACTTACACACAACCTACCCCGTGCGGCTTGCCGTGCTCCAAGTAATACGGCGAGTCGTAGGCATGCATGTTTTAGTCCACGGGGGAAATCTTGCCCATAGACCGAATTGCATCCAAGAAGTATGCCAGGAGGTGTGTGCTGCAAGGGCTGCAGTGCGGGGGCGGGTACCTACCTCCAAGAGATCCAGATCCAACTTGGGGTCCTTCTTGCGAGGAGCGCGAGCAGGCTTAACTGCAGCGCCGGCATCTTGGCCCTTTCCGGGACCGGCCTTGCCTGCCTGCGGGCTGGATGAGCCGGGGATGCGGGCCAGAAGACGAGGTAAAAAATGATGCCCTAAGTCCACAGGTCCACAGGGAGCATTGATTGCAAACTGACACCCTATTTTATGACGGCAGGCCCAGGGCCCCTAGCTTCTGGGGCTTCCAGTCCTGGTAGGGGATAGTCTAGTCATTCGGTAATTGTCTAAGATCGAATTTGCACCTTAGCCCGCCTTCGCCTCTTTGATCCATGGCGTCGTCATCCCCAACGGCTGTCGCCATTGACCCGTTTTGAGCGCTCAAGAACGTTTCGTGGTGCTAAGACCGGTCAATTAGAAGCTTGTAGAACATTCAAGGCTTACTGAATTTGCATGCCGATGTCGGGAGGCTTCGTTCCTCACTCCTACTCCCGCCAATTCATCTACGGTATACGGCGTACAACACCCCTCAGATAGAAACCCGTAGATGACTCCAAATCTCTGCGGCCACATGCAACTGACAAGACATATCATACATCTGCGTTCCGCTCCGTCGTGATCTCAATGCAGTGCATCCTTATTACAGTACCCGGCAACGCAACGGTTGTCCTAATGGACAAGTAACAGCTTAAGCAATCTGCGTCCTGTGTTTGGATGATTTACGAGAGATGTCAATGGATTCCGGGTGTTGGCCTTAGGTGCAAAGGCATGCCGAACCGTCCGGCGACGCCAAAAGAATGTTTACTGAATGCTTGCACGAAGCTGATTATCACCACATTCGATAGGAACAGAACCGTGTCACAGCCAATGATTTCCAGCCTCAACCTGACCCACGTTCAGAGGCTAACTCAACGCCACGTGTAGGATTGAAACTGTATTCATTTGGTGTTGCTCTCCTTTTCCCTGGTGTTAAGAAGGCTCTGCACCAATTGCCAGCATCGTACGAAGCCTGACCGTGTTGAGATGGCTCATTTCCAGGGGCGCTGCACTCGACCCGTTCGGGGTCCACTGTAACAATCGCATCTCATTTCCAGGCGTTATATGTTTGCTCGCCAAGCCTGAAGATTCCGGCGGCACATCTTCTGTAGACCCAACGCCCTAGCATGCGCGCCGAGGTCATATTTTACATGTTGCGTCACGGCAGAGCAATACCCCGATATTATAGCCTCTGCTCCTGTATAGAACTGGAGCCTTAAGCTTGTTAAATCACCACATATCAGCAGCAAGTTATGTAGGGTACTCATATGGACAATCACAACATGGAACAGGACGGAACGCGAGGTTCGCCATGAGCTCTAACTCATCAAGGGATGAACCAGGGATAAATGATAACTTAAGGATGTAAGATTATGAGGACCGGTTATCCGCGTCACGGCTACCGACGGTATTCACTGTCCTTCCTCACAGGGATAGATACGTGTGTAGGAGCAAACACACATTTAGAACCGAATAAACACATCAGTAATGTCCTGAGTTATAGGATTGGTCCTGCTTGACGAGCCTATTTACTGCCTATTTTGCGTAAAGCCGTACAGGTCGCAGCACCTTGAGCACAGTGGCAAGCCAAGCCAAGCCAAGTTGCCTGACTATACCTGTCACTCAATTACATGTAATCCATGTATTTTTTGCAATAAATTGATGGACCCTACCTGCTAGCGTCTGTTATACGTCGCAGGCAACACGAACCTGGGTGAAAGTGATGGGCGCCTGGAGATGGCCCAGGCAGAGACCTAGCAAGTGACCTAATTGATGGGCTGCGCAGCTTCAGCAACAGCAAGGACAGGAGTGAATCACGGGTCTTGTAACAACGATGGCGTGGAGGACAGGAAAACTGAGACAGAAAAGGGAAAGGTAACCTCGGGTTTTTTAAGCATTCCTTTCATGTTATTTGTTGGGCAGCTCCTTCTCGTCACAGTGTTCGGAAGATGCGGCTCCCATGAGCAAAACTTGCGTCCCGTCACGCGCACCAGGTGACGCCGGTACAACTTACCATGAAGCCGACCGATACTGGTAGCCTTTCAGGCTCCCTAAATGCGTCTGGCGCACTGGTCAGGACCACCGAGTTGGTAAGCTGATGCCAAACAATGCACGATTGGAAGGTTTCATGTTCGCATGGTACTTTTGGTAACCGCTAAGCTTATCGATGGCGACGGCACCACTTGGGCAGCTGACTGTGTAGCGTCGCCGTCTGTGACCCGAAATCCTACGGCTGCCCCCGCAGACGAGCGTCCAGGAGTTTGACATGAAACCCAATCACTCCATGGTTGAAAAACGGAGGAGTTCGGTTCACCCTCAGGTGTGTATGCCCCGTTACCCGCCCGCCTAATGTGCGGACACCGGTTAACCTGACCGGATCGGAATGGTTCAATGGGCTTTTAGTCGTAGATATCTGCCTATAAATATCATAAAGATTTTTTTTCGTCTGATGCTTACTTATCGACCGCACTCCACGCCACGGTGCACACATCGCCGCTGGTCGCGCGCGGCTCCAACCAGAAGCATTGTCATGTCGCCCCATTAACTTTACTGCGGGACTCGCCGGAGGCTTGCAGTCCGGCACTGTCCCCTGCCTCCCGGGGTTAAAACCTGCAGCCCCCCGATCCTCCCGCATGCACACGCCGTTGTCTGCCCGCTGCCGGACTCGCCATCCTTGATGCTTCGGCCGGTGCGTTGGTCATCGCACCACTCTCCAACTGTCGTGCAGGGCAGCAGAGCGCTTCCAGAAATCGACCCCGAAGCCTCCGTCTCGCCGATAATTCGGGGGGGATTACCGCCGGTGGACGTCCGGCGGCGGGGCTCACAAGGCCTATTCAGTAGTCCAAATGCACGCAGCTCCACCGATGGGAACCTGGACGTGGGGAGACACGGATCATCCGGCGAGCTGCTGTTTAGCAAAGCCGGGACGCGAGCCTCCGTGGACGGCGTATCCTGGCAGGGGCCCTGCAGCGCCGGCAGCGGCGGCCCCGGGGGCGGTGGCGGGGCGCCATTGCTCGGCCCCAGCAGTGGTAGTGGCCAGCTGATAGGAGTTAGCCTTGGGAGCCCGGTCAATGGCAGCGCTCCGACGCTTTTCCGAGCAAATGCCGGAATCCTGAAGATTAGCGGGCTCAGCGCAGGGCCTGGAGGCAGCGGCGCCATCAGCCCGGGCTCTAGCGGGGGCAGCACGCGTGGCGGCTCCGGCGGGGGCACTGGCGGCGGCGGCGGCGCGCGTATCTTAAAGGAAGCCTCCAAAATGACATATGTCGTGGAGAAGGTAGACGATGACTTGGCGGATGAGGACGTTTTCTCGGACGATGGCGAAGGGGCGGGGGGTATATGCGGTGGCAGCGACGGGCGGCTGCGGGTGCCCAGCCTGATGGCCCCCATGCGCATGGAGAGCATCACGGAGCAGCAGCTGCCGAACGACATCCTGACGGGACCCAGTTTCCGGTTGGGCAGCCAGGCGTTGCTCGTGAGGAAGGTAAGAAGCGCTGGGAGCCAAGGAAACGTAAGCTGGGGCGCGGCGTTTAAGCGGTGTGGAAGCCGCGTGGCAGCTTTGTGAAAGGGTGCAAGAGCGCCTTCAGGATAGTGTTGGACTAGGGCGTCATAGGGGTGCCTCGTAAGAGGAAAAGGCACTTGACAATAAAATGGAATGTGCGCGACAGAAGGCAAGAGAGTGCTTCATGGGTGCAGTGGCTGCGCAGAGGGTACGTTGGGGGACTTGCATGGGACTCGGCATGGACCAGACACGTGGACCTGCATGTTCTCTGCGGCTGGCAGGTGCTAAATCGTGCGATTCCCGTGCGGACGGACCGGATACAGCAATGCCACTGATGATGTGCAGCGCTTCCCTGTGCCCCGGTGGCTGGAAGCTTGGGACGGGGGAGTTTGTTGGCGCGTGTGGGCAACCTTGGTTGGGGAAGACCACGCAGCTAGGCACGTCGTGGGGGTGCCCATGAGGAGGACAGGTGGGGAAAAACCCCGGGGTCGAGGTGCCGCATGAGAGCAGAGTTTGGTTATCAAGAGAGTTGAGGTTTTTCACCCAGGGTCCCCACGGTGACTCATGAACCGCATTCTGCGGCTGGGCCACGACTGCATCCCTACCTTGCCCGCCTTTCTGCACCTCCCCTCTCTCTCCTTTTTCCTCCGCCGCCTCCCCTCTCCGCTCGCTCGTGCCTCAACTATCCCCCACCCTCTCCTCCGCCTCCTCGCGACCGCGCTGCGCATTATTGAAAACCTGCGCGGCGCCGGTCCTTACGATACATTAGGAATGCGGCGTGCTGTCCGGACCCTTAGGCCCGCTGGTTATGTGGCGGAGCACCGCCACCCTGGCATCCCACCTCGGGGCCGCCGACCCCGGCGGCACCCTCTCCACCTTCCTCCACGCCGCCGTATCCGTACCCCATGCCACTTACACGCCGGTGGAGCCATGTATGCTGGTCGCTGACGAATTGCTGCAGCCGAGCCCCCGATCCAGGGATCAGAGCCCGAATCCTCCCACGCGTTGTTTTGAAGGCTGGGGCCCCGGCGGCTCCGCAGCAGCTGCCACCAGCGGGGTCTGTGGACGAAGGGCGCAGCCCTCCTCCGCGCCCTCCTCCCCCTCACCGTCCCCCACACGTGACCGTGACTGTTGTGCCTGCGAATGTGCACGCTGCCGCGACCGCTCGCCGCTGCTGTACCCGCGTCGTCTGCGGCCGATGCTGTCCCCTGCTCGCCGCTTCCCGCAGCGTTCCCCGCTGACTTTTGCCCTCGCCGCGGTCTCTGATGTACAGTCGTTGCTGGCGCCCAGCAAGCTGTTTAAGGGCGGCGACAGCCAGGCGTGTTTGTCTTCGGCGCACAACGGCCTACCGCCGGTGAAGCAGACCGGGCATCGGTCCATCGGGAGCAGATCCGTTGGAATGGTAGGTGTGATGGTGCTGAGCGATGTCGAAATGGGGAAATGGGTTGCAAGGAAAGCTACAAAAACCAGAGAGCCCGGTGTTGCTTCTGGCGCCGGTGGGCGACCGCTGGGGTGGGGCCTTGGTGGGGTGGGGCCTGGCGGGGTGGGCTGATTGGGATGATGATGGGTTTGGATGTAAGGACCTGGGGCAGTTTCTACAATGAAAATGGACGAAGGCAGTGGGTTCCACTGTCTTACCTGTACATGCCTGAACGTGGCAGCTCTGGCTTGAGCATGGGTTTGTGCTCGGGAGTCCTGGGATAATGCCACTTAGGCCCATAGCCCTGCACTGGGGTGCGGCGGCAGCCGCCGTCGGAACGAGGGCAGGGGTTCCTTCCTGAGCTTCGTACGGTCTTGACGTCAGGCCGGAAGCGACTGCTATTTCCCTCCTTGCTGTCGTGACGTGATATCGCTGCTGGGCTGTGGCGACGCTGCTCGCGGTTCCCTGGTCGCCCCGCAGCGCG